CCGAACTTATAATTCGGTTTCAAGAAGTTTCCAAGACCAGGAGAAAAGTGTGTTGAGGTTGGCGAAAAGGAAGGTCAAACGTCAGTGGTGGCAGCATGCATCGAAATGAGTGGAATTTGCCACGAAAGTTCCTAGAAGCCGGAAACGAGAGTCCCAGAAGCCGGAAAAAGTAGATAAAGGTTGGCGAAGAGAGAGGAGTCAGGTGCTAATTGTTCGTAAAGAGTGCGCTGAGCTGGGCGGAGTCTGCCCGAGGCTCACAACCTGGTTTCAAAAGTCCCGCTCTACGGAAAATATTCGGTAGAGGTTGGCGAAGGGAAGGGCGTGCGCTGAAGTAGGAGGAAGACCTATACAATATTGATGTTCTCATTTTATGCCACTGCAGTCCCGTGTGCTGCACGCATTCGCGTCGTGCGTCGTTCGTGGTGCACGCGAAGGCGTGCTAGCCAAACTGGTGTTGTCTATCATTGAAAATCTTCAAATCCATCACTTCATTATATAAACCACTTTGGCGTGTCGGTTCACGAGCCTCACGAGGGGTTGGTGCCACAATTCAGGGCTCACGGCGGAAGAAGTAAAGCTTTCGCAGGGAGGAAAAGTCCCAGCGGTTGACGGGGATCTGGTATTCATAATTAATTGTGACTTGACTGGACCCAGCTTTGCAAAGTGGGAGGTCCGATAGACGAGAAGTAACCGAACCGATAAACCATAGCAATTTTCAAATTAAAATTGTTCCTCGTAAACGCCATTGTTTTATATCAAGTGGTGTTCCTTTTGTGAGCACTTCTTCTGCTCTATTCGCTCATTTGTTTTGTTTTATGTTTGTTGGGAATTAGTTCGAATTTTAGGTGTTTAGGAATAAGGTGTTTTATCCACGAAAGTGACCGCATTTCTTTGAAAAAAATTATCCCTGAGAAGATGAGAAAATCAACCAGGCGTACATTCCTAACTTAGTCATGACTTGTTCTTGAAATTCTACTAGTTTTTCAATGTCTCGGCTATAAAAAAATTTCGACCTAGATCTCAGGTAATGGTGCTCGACCGTCGAGTTCTGGTTGAAAAACCAGGTCTGGAAATGGAACGACGCGACTTGTTGGGAAACCTAATAGTGTAATGTTTAGAAGAGGTCATGCATAAGTAGAGGGTACATCATTGATTGATTTCTCCCAAGGGAAGATAAAGTTAGAGATAGTTGTCGGTTTGGTCAATTTTTGTCGGCTGGACCTCCCATTTCGCAGGCCTAAAATTTGAAAACCCTGGAACAGAGGTGGAAGAGGAACATAGCATCTTGTAGAGCAGACAATTCTCTTTCGAATGGTATATGACTGATGTAAAAGCATGGGATTTAGATGAAAATTTTTTGGTTGAAAAAAGCGACACTACTTATGAGACAACCTAATAGTAGGGATTAGGTTAGTAAAGGTGAAAACGTTGGATCTCAGAAGGGAAACTTTCATTCAAAAAAAAAACGACACCACTCATGAACCGCTGTTTTGAAGGGTCTTATCATGGAATTCCTCATTTCTCCAAGCACACCTGCTAATTTTTGCTTTTTGTTTTCGTTTCATTGTGAATAGGTTATCACCTTGCGAGTGGCTCCCCCACTTTCTCTCAACGATTTGGGGCGCGGCCGCGGCGTTCGCGGCCGAGTAGTGCGGCATCAGCTTGCCTGAGTATTCGACGTTACATTACGTGTCGTTACGATCGGATGAACTAACACGTAATGTAACGTCGAATACTCAGGCAAGCTGATGCCGCACTACTCGGCCGCGAACGCCGCGGGTTTGCCGCGGCCGCGCCCCAAATCGTGAAGAAAGT